AGATGTGTGTGGATTTCCCGTATACGATTAAAAAATCGTAACGGTACTGCATCGTGAGTGGATTTCCCGTACAACTAAACATCGTAACGGTATTTGGTTTGGTCTACAGGAGTTCGTGCTTCGAACAGGTCATTCCATTCATAGAAGAAGCCTTTTCATGGAGAAAGTGTACCTTTTTAGCAAAGGTTTGTCTAGGTCGAAACTAACTCCGGCTATATAAAAATTGATTAGAATATTGAAAACGTTATTTGTGTTAATGAATAGATAAAGATTACTAGGCCTAATATGTCCATTTTTATTGATCTAATCTACGTGTATTTACTTTCATAGTTTATATTTAAATATTTAAAATTGTTTACAAATTTATTTAAAATACTATATGAAATAATGTAGTCATTAAAATTTATGATAATAATTGATATTTAAATAAAGCAAAAAGATTGAAACATGTTAAATACAGACACAAAGTATACATAAACCTATTTCTAGATTACAGAAAATATGTAAATCTGTATTAAAATGATATAAATTTATATATATACATAGAAATATTATGCGTAAATATGTATTTAGTATAACAAATTAAATTTAAACGAAAATATGGAAGAAGCAGAGGAAGAAATAAGAATAGGAAAAAATTGAAAATGAACAATAATAATCATTTTTTCATTATTGCATCACGTTTTTGTGAAAATAACCCATCTTAAAGGGCTATCTGTCGTTTTCTTCTTTGCAACAGTGGACGAAAAATGTCAGTTATTCTACGACGTTTCGTAATTCTTTATCACTAAAAATTAACACTCGTTTTGACGCACGTCCGGTTTCGTTACCGGTTGGTACATTTCTTACAAACATTCAGGCAAAGGCCAATCAAAGTTGAGACGGGAGCCGGTTTTTTTTTTTTATCTATGTTTGCCATCCTTATATGTGAGCCATCGTAAATTCATGGTGTGCCGGAGTTGCGTTCAATTTAAATCTCCGAACTTCTGAAGCTGAGATATTCTATGAATGAAGGCTTGTATCGCAGTCTAGAATTTAAAAACGTGTGACCAAATAATGAATTAGGTGCTAAATGTTGATTTCATGCTGGGTAAGTTAAAAACAGACATTCCGTCCAAGTGGGATTCATTCAAAAATTTGAGGGGGGGTTCGCTAAAAAACAGGGGGTTCGCTAGAAAAGGGGGTTCGCCCGAACCATAAACCCCCCCCCCCCCTGGATACGGGCCTGCATCGGATCTCTCGCGCTGAGCTGTCGAGCCACGACCAGATCACCTCGGCCTAACCTATTCCTTACTACTGTACGTAATTGCTTGAATCAAAAATCGTATTCATTACCTTACGGTATATTTGTATACTGGAAATAAATAAAAACAGGCTTAGGTCTAGCCATCGCTTTAAAACCGCTACATAGGCCTAGCTAGACATTTTCGGCTCCGTCACGGTTAGACCAACCATAAACAAAATATTTTTCTCTTTTTTTTTTTTCTCGAAGTTTATTTCGATTTTATTACATTGAGGGCGCTTGTTTAGACATATTTTTTTTTATAGCCACAGTATGGTTTTGCTCGACCTGCCCGCGCGTGATCGTGTGGTTCGGATACACATACCGTACTCGCGAATAAGAACCCGGGCGCTTAAAATATTTTTTGCACTTATTGAGGGGCGATTATTCAAACGGGGCGTTTATTAAAACGAGAAACTTATGAAAGCAGAGTGGAAATGAAGGGGGCGCTTATGAAAATAGATGAAAATTAAGGGGTTCTTATGAGAACTTATTAAATTCAAGAGGCACCTTTTGAATGAAAAACGATTATATGAGGACATCGGGAAACTGCAAATTACGAAGGTTGGTGCGGCGGAAAAGATAGTCGTCCAGAGAGCATGGCTCGTCATGACAAGAATGTTGTGAGTATTTATATTGCAGCAGAATAGCAGATGAAATTAGTGGTGGTGATAGTGGAGCTTGTTGGCCATCGGCCGAATGTATCAGGACTGGCATGATCATTCCAGGTTTTCTTGAAAACTCGGATGAGAATGTGTTAAAGGTGCAAATTGTCGGAAAAGAGTAGGACGCAATAAGAAGATGAAAGTCGGGAAATATACTCTCTGTCCAGGGAGGTCTCATCTCTCCAAGAGAAATATCCTAATTTTGATATTGACCTAAGGAGAATGTGATTCCACTCCGCAGCTAAAATCATGCCAACATCCACAGTCCCAGGATTGATCGGATTATTGACTTGCTAAAAAAAAAATCACATGATGTTATAAGGAAACCTGAGAAAAGAAAAGAAAGGAAAGATAGACATGAAAACAATAGAAAGGAAAAGAAAAGAAATGATAAGAAATATAAGAATGAAATATGAAAAACAGATTCGAATTATAAGAAAGAAAATGAAAGGAAAGGTAAGGAATCTAAGAAATGAATGTGAAAGATAAGATAAGGAAGCATAAGAAAGGACAAGAAAAATACAGATCAGGAACATTTGAAGGGGAAAGGAAGAAAGACAAGAAGCAAAAGGGAAAGAAAAATGAAAGGATTTGGGATGAATAGGAAAGTAACAGGCCTTGAAATGGTTCCAATTACCAAAGCATTGTAATAATACCGGTAACATTTATTGATAATCATCAAACGAATCATTTGAACTTAATTAAAGAAAACTAAAACCAAATATTTGATAATATTTCATTAAGTTTCTGGATGATTTTACACTATCATTCTTAATCTTAGCAAGAGCATCATCATCATCATCATCATCATCATCATCAAAGCACCTACAAAATGCCTATTGAGCCGTGCTCGTCGCCGACAATAGCGCAGCCGAACTATCATAGAGAGAAAACAAGCCAATTTCCACTATAAATATTTCCTCTTACAACTCTTTAATATTAGAATGTCGTACCTGATCGCAGGCCAACACAATCATTTGATATGCCAAGTAGTTATTTTATGTAGTCCAACATAATACCATGTTGTTACTGGCCTACATTTTTTTTAAATACAAGTACCAAAATAACAATCATTAATTCCATTGGTGTTATACGAGGGGCGATGCTTATTATGTTATTGTAAATTCGGAGAGTTTTTGTGGCAGAGAAAAGATAGTTTTTTTCAGGGGCAACCTTGTGAAACGGCGACTGTGAATAGATATCGTGCAACTGTAATTCGCTACTTTCTAGGCTTATTGTAAGGAAAGATGTAAGGTACGTTTCCTTTGTACCAAAAAAAAAAAAAAAAAAGAATTTATTTTTTTCCAACAGTTACTTGTTTTGGACGGATTGGGACACAGGGAACCAAAAGCTTGAAAGGTCAACTCTTGCTGGTGAAAATCGAACCGTTTTGGTGGACGAGGATTTGTTCTTTCCAAATGGCTTGACGATAGATTTTGCCACCGACAGGTAAGGTTTTGAATGAAACAGTTTAAATGCCAAATATCTGAGTGTTATACTATGGGACTATATCACTTTCAACCAAAATAAGTGTTGTTCACTCATTTAATAAAATGCATCACCTGGAATTGAAAGTCTCCATGAAGCCAGGGGCGTATAGTAACAATGGGACTGAAAATGACGTATATATTCAAAAATCTCACTCATAAATTAGAACATCTCACGGAAACGTTAATTTTCACCTCGTGACTCAAATCAATATGCCATATGTACTGAAATTCGCCAATGGATGACCCGAAACTTCTTTAAGATAAATTATGATAAATTTAAATTTATTTTATTTTGTTTTGTTCCCATTCGCAACAAGATCACCGTTCGCAATAATTAACGATATTTTTATATCATTAAGGCCTCTATTATCATCTTCTTTTAATCATTATAACCTCACTACCTTTTCAAGCATCGATTGTCATCATTTAATATGATTATCATCGTTTATAACATCAATACAATACTGTAAATCACAATAATACATTATCAGAAATATCAACATCTCTATTTGTTGTTTTATTTTACTATTACATCCTTTTGCTCGGAGTTTCTGCTTCATTGCATTACCTAAGTTTGCACACTTTGTTTGGGTTTGGTTTCTATGCAATCTCTGCTAGTGGGAACGTTTCTACTTATGGAGAGTGGAAAATTGCGCTTCATTACTGCAAGGAAAGACGCTATTAAAGCAACAAGTAATAAATAACAAATATGTATTGAGAAAAATCTGAACAATTCATTTTCTATTAATTCCCACTATCAAAATCCTCATTCAACACTCTGACAAGATATGCCTCTTTAAATTGAAGTCGTACATTTAACTTTTTTTCTCGTTGTGTCAAGGATTAGACCAACTTGCATCCTGTGAATCCTTGCTCGTGGGAGACTCAGCTCGTGTTAACATATTTAACAAGTTCTTATTCACTGTTTCCCACATAGTTTATCCAAGTTCTTCTCAATAATTCTAGAGGTATTTGGTGGAATCATCCACAACTAATAATTGCAGAATAACCATAGACAATTTAAATATAAGTGAAATTGTCTATAGGCCTATTTGAAAAAAACCGGTATCATGTGAAAAATGGCGAAAATTAGGACCTGACCACCAAAGTTAATCACTAAACATGATACGGTAGCAAAACCAGTGGGCTGCAACTTCCTATATCGGAAGAGGTTAGATTAATAATTGATAAATATTTTAGTATTAAGCCTCCCAAGCGATTGTGGCTCCTGTAAGGAGGTAATGCTTTAGGCCTACTTGTTGATAAGGCATTTTTTAAATGTTTGTGTAGAACTCTAACATTTTTAAATAAGATTATTTTTGCCTAATATTTTAAGCTTTTGTCTCTTAATTATTGGAATGATGATGAAGCTTCCTTGTGAATTAATGGACAGATAATTATAAAATACTGTTTTACATTTTGCAAAAATCCTGTTGCTAGTCAGTTAAAACATAATTTTCCCATGCAAAATACTAATAAAATCGTGAAAATCATTTTAAAAATTAACTTGCTCATTTTGAAGTAACATAAAAACTATCAATTTAAACATAGAAATTAGCGTTCTAAATGTTTACCCTTAATTTTACAGCGAAAAATAATAGAAATAATTCCAGTCACTGATTATTACCATTATTCAGGTCCAAAAATCATGGTACACATTTTTTAATTCAAAAATGTCAATGCTCACGTTAATAGTGTGTATACTGCAAAATTTGAAAGTTGATTTCAAAATTATTTTTTATTTTGAAATTTGCGGGGGACAATAAAGAAGTATTGTAGCGAATGTCTGTAACAGCAAATATGATTTATCTGTGTAGCATTTGAAGTGTTAATATAGGAGAGGTTGTGGATATTCAGCTGTTTAAACACCTTTATTTATTTACACCAATTTACGCTAACATTTCGTTGTGCTTATTGAGGGCGCATTTCAAATTTACATTAAAATCGGCTAATTTGAGTTTAAAGCTATAGTAGAATATAACTTTGTAAGAATAACTGTTTATTTTAAGCTACAGTATAAAGCTGAGCTATGAAATTTTAATTTGTTTACTTTGTGTGTTGTTATTTTGAATAATACAGTAATTGAAAACGTCCACAAGCAATAATTGTTAATATAATTTACAGGCATAAAAGGCTATCAACGCATGACATATCAATGTAATAATACTTGTAAATTGTAAATCTTGTCAGATTCCTCTTCTGTTATTTTTTAATATACATATATATATATATATATATATATACATATATATATATATATAGGCCTATATAGTGATTTGTATAATACAATTTTTTAATACCCTAGCTGACCTTCTGCCAGATACCTTAAATATTGGCAAGTTTATGCATAGTTCAGCAAAACTTGTTGTGTATTTAAACAAATTAGATCTATTAAATAAACATAAATAATTAATACAGTGGTCTAGTATTATTATTAAAATCATTAAACTCTGCGTGACAAAGCATTCAAGTTTACAATTTTAAAGCACTTGACATTCTACTGTAAGAAATTGTATTAAACGGAACAGTCGATACGGAAATCGATAGTTCCCAAGTGATCAGAGATAAAGGAAACCACATTAGATATTACTTTTCACCAATTGCTTTTCCGTATACGGAACAATGTGCCATTCATTGTTAAGATACATTTTCTTCGTCAATGGAATACCAACAGCACGACTTGAGGATTTTTTTTCTTAACCTGTAGACTTTTATAAAGTTCACTTCAATAAACAAATACACAATACAACAATTATACACTGGGCCAGACACGTGGCGCGAGTACAGGTTTTGTACAGCATTACGATATATAGGCCTATTCAATGCTTACTCTGGTGGTATTTGTTTTGTCATTCAGCAAATCATTCTAGTCATGTATTGTAGGATGGTGATACATAATAAATGGTGATATATTTAAGACACATAGGCCCGTGCGATAACATTCGGATCTAGCTTTAAAAAAGAAATGTACTACTATGTGAGAGCCCTCAAGTATAGCGGGAGAGAGTGGTCTTAGATCTATAATATCTTATGGGCCTCTATGGTCTAAACGGTTACTTTTACGCTCATCAATATTATAGCGAGACTTTTTTTCATATAGGCCTAATATATACATTATTTGTGTTCCCAGTGCTAGGAGCAAGTTAATTTGAATTATTATTTCCATGCTTCCAGCTAATAGGGAGGTTTCGCACGCCAACGCGTACGGTTAGTATGACGGATACGTCATATCATTTTGACGTCATACGCCGGCTGCTGTTCGCTAAACGTACGTGTGTGGACGACACGCATATCTCACTCACTACACGTACGTAAGTCGGGACGTAGTGAAAAACGCGTAGGGAAATCAATTTCTAGTAGGATCTTCGTTTATTTTTTCACATTACATAAGTGTAAAAAATGAATGTACCTTTGAATACGTACGTGCCATTCTTGGGACATTTGAAGACAGCAAATTACGATAGGATGTGTCTAATTTTGGGATATCAAAACGTCGGTGCTTTGTATTGGGATTTTGTGTAGGCGTAGGCCTGCCAGGGGGCCTAGGCCTCTAAGTAAGGCAGGCCCTACGAGCCGTTACGGATAGCAGTTAAACGTATGCGTACAGGTATATGATTGGTTCGCGTGCAAAACCTCTCTATATATTACCATAAGCTACCGTATTACGTAGCTTAATGAACCATCATGAATGTATTAAATATATTTATACCTCCATGCTTAAACATTGCTCCACTATGTGTCAGCCCTCAAGTTGTGAAGGAGGGAGCTAGACAGTGGTTTTAGATCCGAATATCGTACTGCCTCTGTGATCTAAATGGTGACGGAGGAATCTTCCTCCATGGTGACACTCACCGAGATAGCGGAGATTGCGGGATCGATTCCCACCAGAGACCTCTTTTTTCAAACAACTTCAATTAGAGCAACTTTTGTTAAACTAAATTTATATTAACATCATTGTCATTTTTACGGAGTTGTGTTTTAAGTGCTTCGCACTTGTTATATAATGTATTGCAGTTTAACTTCGTCCTGCCTTGCATGAATTGCGGTGACGTGGTCACGAGGGTAGAAGTCTTGCATTGAATCGCATGCTTTGCTGACTCGCAGTTTGTCAATACCACCAAAGCTTACCTCAGATGGGCATATATCCTAAAAACCTTCTTTTCTTTTCTTAGGCTGTACTGGACTGATGTCAACGTTCAGTATAGTACCATAAAAGGTACAGATCTGGATGGTGGTAACTTAACGACAATTCTACAACTACCGTCCAGTACAGCTCACTTCTTCGATTTAACTGTTTTTAAAGTATGTATCACACTTTTTTTAAATAAAAAACATAATGAATTATTTTTCATCTACATGAACAGAATTAAATAATAGAAACAAGAAAACTTGCTTGACGTACAAAACACATTAGCCTTATCATTTGTTTATGATACCTGCAGCCCTTAAACTGTTTTGTGCTACTGTAACTCACTTTTGGTGGGACCCAGCTGTACTACTGCAAATTATTGTGGTTTGATAATTATATTATAGATTCTCGCCATTTGATTGGTTGAATTATACATCATTTTATGTTCCATTAAATGGAAGCACCATAATCTACACGGTTGAGCATTTCATTCACTAGTTCACCACGCAGTGGCAATCGAAAAATATACTGGGCAGTACGTTGAGGACTAAAAGATTTAGGTAATATAAGTCTCTCAACATCAAAAGAAAAATACCCTTTTACAGCAAGTACTTTGTACTCTGCATTTTGTACAATATGATAATCGACAATCTAACTTAAAACTCTTGATTTGAAATCAACACTTCATACACTACTCTGTGGGTGCTATATTAAGTTAAGGTTTAAGTTTTAATGGTTTTAAATTTATAAACCACCAATATACATAATGTGCAAAATACAGAGGAAGAATAGAAGATTAAAATTATTCGAGATTTTGTATCTTTATAAACTGTCCATTTTCACAGAACTATTTGTTTGTAACTGATTGGCGAAATTATCTGCGATGCGTGAAGATCAAAGAGGAATCTCATTACTTTGCCTTGAATCTAGGTTCACGTCCATATGGAATCACCGTTTTTGGGGATCAAAACCAACCAAGTGGAAAATGTATGTATCTATACCATATGATTAGCTTTACAAATATTATGTTTAAATAATGAAAACAGAATACTGTAATCAATTTTGAGAGAAAACAGTTTGTTTTGAGTGTTCAGTAAATTCATACACATGAGACTTGTTAAAAAAAACCAGAGAGACGGTCAATGATGCGTACTAATGCATACATTGATGTAATAAAATCAGGTCACAAAAACCACTAAGATTGTATACACAGTGGTTTACCAGTTATAACAATGCAATTTTTTATGCACTTCCACCATAAACTTTGAATGAAAGTCCTCTTCATCCATTCTTTAGCCCCATGCACTAGTAATCCTTGCAGCCAGATATGTGTTTCTGACCCTGGACCAGACAGGTATAAATGCATATGTAAGGACGGCTATGACCTCATTGACTCGCAGTGCAAGAGACGTAAGTTAAAGAATATGTTTTATTACAAAACATTGTTATATAATATGCACAGATTAAGTGGCCTGTTTTTAATGACTTTTGCTCTTAACACATTAAATTGGTATACAATATAATACAATACAAGAAATAAATCAACCTGAACGCCTTTACTTTAAGAGATACTGGATACAGGTTATTATTCACTAAAAAGTTAGGTCATTGGTTCTTATATTAAACATCTAAAAATTAAACGCCCTCAATATTGTTTTCTCTTGCAAATAGGAGAAGTTGGTATCAGTTCACCACAGATTATATATTCCCAGAGTCACAGTGTGTGTGGTATTCCTGGGAACTTCCCAGATATGACACTGCCGTCCCATTTCACAGTCCCGTGCTTTCTTCAGAACCTCACACACGTAGTGGCCCTTCAAGTAGACTCTGCGGAGAAGCTTCTGTTTTATTCGGATGCAGATACGAGAAAGGTGATGTCAGTTCGTCTGACACACGGGTCCAACATCAATATCATCATGGGTGGTGTTGGCAGTATAGAAGGTCAGTGTTACTAATTGTGATCTACACCTCACCCTTTATCAGTTAGTAGTGGGGCATATAGTTTTATTTAAAAAAAGTAGAATTTTTCTTGCATAATTAAGCAATCAGTCCACGAAAACTTAATTAGATTCTGATTCAGTATACTTGTGTCAGTTGCTGTTTAGCAGTTGTCCATCAAATTTTCCATTCTGCTTTAGTTAAAGCACTAAGACTGAATGTAATGGCCATGTATAACTGATGGCAAAGAACTTAAATAGCAGAAGAATGAGCTGTTCCGCGTATTTGAATTAAAATTTGACCATTTGATTAAGTGGAGAAACTAAAAAACGAACCTGAGCGGTGCCTTTATTATTAATATATAGCACCACAGTAAGGACGGGTTAAAATTGCTCTCGGTGTACCCACAATGCATTTCCAACGGATGTTCTACTATATTGGGAAGCTGCTCTATCTTCTGCTATTTATTATCATTGCTGATAGTCATAAATTTTAATTTCAATTATGAAACTATTATACTGAAAACAGATCTCATTGCCCTTTGAACTTATCGTTTAACCTTACAGGTATTGCAGTAGATTGGATCAGTAAAAATCTCTACATGACGGACTATGATATGAACTGTATCATTGTTTCTCGTTACGAGGGCACCCAGCGCAAAATTCTTCTGGACACAGATATAACATCTCCAAGAAGCATTGCTATTGACCCTAGGCAAAGGTTTGTTTTCACATGACGAAAAACTATACTATTTAATGTTTCTACTATACACTCACCAGATACTCTTTCCCTCTGTTGAAAGAGATGTCGATTAAATGTTTTCAATTCCTTAGTTGTCGATTTTAGTTGGCCAGCTTTCTTTCAGCTATAATATAGTACCATAACCTACTAATCGTACTCGTTTGTTAGGCTGAAGAAGGTATAAATATTTATCCCTAAATTTAGTTTTAAGTATTACTTTATTGTTACAAGATCATGTCAGCCACGTATCAAGTTGTTGACATTGATACCAACGATACCTTCATTATTGTCTGCTTATACCTATAGATATGTTCCTGGGGCGGATGCAGACGGTGCGATCGCACACCCCTCTAAATTGTAATCAGAAAAATAATTGTTGTATTGTATTGTAAAGTATGAGAGTGCAATTTTCGGTCACCAGAGGCAGGCGCGGATCCAGACCTTCGCACCATTCTCCAATATAACGTAATAGGAGTGCCTGATGGTCTGGCGAATTCCAAGTTTTTCTGTCAGAAATGCCACCTACCTAGACCAAAAATATAGACAAAATAAACTTTTTTCACTGTCTAAGTATTAATCAAAGAGGTACTGTAATTAAAAATGGCTGCGTGATAACATACACTATTGAGTTCCTTTATTATTTATATGATTTATGTCACAATGTATGGTTAATCAAAAATCAATCACAGGGAGGATATACATTTGCGTTGATTCTAATAACCTTATTGAAAGGCATATATAATTTTATTATATTTTGATATTCCCAAATTACACTAAAGCGACAACCTATAATTTTAATTATTACTTTTGAATTAATAAATTGTTATTTCATTATTTTAATGAATGCTATAAAAAAAGGAAAAAAAAAAAGAAAACAGGTCTATAATGGAGTTGGTAACCTAATTGTAGATCTTAAGATCTTAAAAATTACGAACAATTAGATACAGTACATCTAGAAAGAAAGTCAAAAATGACCACCGAGCACCGAGAGACTGAAAATTAACACAGAATCTGTAGAAGATCAAGAACATAAATCGTATGTAAATTTCAAATCAAACAGCGTTGGAAGTGGAAAAAGAATTTTAAAAATATACTGAGAAATGGAGAAGATATCTAATAAGTGTATAATGCTGTATTAATTGGCAAGTAAAATGTAAAGTTTCCACGCCCGTATATCCAGTAGGTGTGGGGTGTTGAGTGTGAATAACACACCCAACCAAATTTGATAAGGTCCACATTTCCAAGTCAGTCGAGAATGTGCTGAATATAAATTTGTGATTTTATGTCATTTAAAAATAAAATCTTAAATTTTTACATTTTAAACAGATACATAATCCACTCAGTCATGATTCGGAAAAACACAATATATCCATTTTTGTGATTTTGGCTAAGGGGCACTCTGTGGGTGTAATCTATCATGGGACGTGATCATATACTCCAAACAATTTTTCGAAATATGAAAATATTATGAGAGTTACGCATATATCCGTCCACCCACCAAAGCATTACCTCTAATAAGCATTAAAATGTTTGCAATCAACCAATCACAGAAGACATTTATGCATATTTAATTTCTTTCCCAGCTGGTGGCGGTACAATAAAATTGCATTATTATTTTCTTGTAAGAAAAAGATGAATTTTAGAACCAATATTAACAAGATTATTAGGTTAGTCTTTCCACGTCAGCGCGTGCGCTGAAAGCATTAAAAAAAAAAAATTGGATCTAACATGTGTATAATGATTTTGATAAACAATCATAATTCTCTGTACTATTATTAAACATTTTAAGAATGGACTTTCTCATGTTGTAGTCGTATTAGACTGATATTTTTAAAGAAGACAACAAACAACAAAACAAAATTCCCATGTCGTTAGATGGATATAACGTAATAATTTTCTAAAATTGGATGTAGAGCGGACTTCCTTATGATTTAGGCCTAAGGAAATATAAATGTATATGGGTCTGAACTTTGAAGATGACAATGTTTTCTTCCTTATGTTGGGTCATATTAGAATGTTATATCATTAAAGACCATTTAACAAACAACATGAAACATATATCAAACGTGCATGCATATAACGTAATTTTTTTAGATATATGATATTTTCATGACAGTAGAGAATGTACTGATCTTATAAATTGTACATAATTCTGTTGTACGATTGTGCATTGAAAATGTGATGTCCCACGTCTAAAAGTCTTCCAGCGACAGAACAACTCAGAGACCCCCATATGCGATAGTCATGGTAAAGCTCGGATTCCATAAAATCGCTCACCCTATTGGCGACAGTTGCCGACAGTTGTCGGGAAGGTTGAACCTGGTTCAACTTTGCCGATTGCATTGTAGACGAATCAGGGTGCATTGATACTGCCTTGCGCAATCGCGAAGGCATCCCGATTTGTCTGTGAAACACTGGATTTAACCTTCCTGACAATTGTTGGCAACTTTCGCCGATAGTTCGAGCGATTCTATGGAAACTGAGCTAAAATTCCGGATCTGCGCCTGAGAGCTCCCTATTTTCAAAATGTTCTGCCCTCAGCCCCAGCCATGGTGGGGACAGTGCGGTGGACCCCCACGCACCCCCTACCGCCAAATCCTGTATCTGCCCCAGTGTTCCACGTTTACAAGGTGATTTCAAAGATGACACCATCCAGAATCAGATGCCAAGTGTTTATAATATAACATAATATTATTTTATTATTTTACACCTTTTTTTGGGACAGTGCCATCGGCGGGAGCTGGCACTGGGAACCACAAACTGGTATAGACCCTACCCCAAAACAAGAAAGAAAGTGTCTTTGCATCACATTAAATAAGAATACATTACATTATATTTTAAAATTGATGACATTTTGGGTTTGAGATACAATTTCTTCCTCTTTTCATCTTTGTATTGTGTTAAGTCTCTGGCTATCTCTTACACAATTTAATAAAAGGATAAAATTAAAGGTTATTGTGCATCTTCCATCTTTTATGAAGAACATTCCAACTACTCTCTACATACTCTTCAGAGGCTTGTTTAACTTCTAAAATTCCAAGTGCTTCAAGCCGGTTTAGTTTCTGCGTGTGGATTCCACAATTAAATAATTAAAATTTTTTTTTTAAGTGTCAAGATTATGTTCTGGACTGAATTTGGAGTACCAGCACAAATTGAACGTGCGAACCTGGATGGAAGCAATCGACAACTTATTGTAACTGACAGACTGATATCACCTAACGGCCTTACCATCGAATACACAAACAAAAGGTAAACAAATATTCAGTTGTTATAATAGTAGGCCTATTCACTTTCAGTTTAAAATGTCAGTGTGTTGCTATGTGTAGTATTGCCTCCGATTTTGGTCTCATGATATAATGATATACTTTTGGTTTTGTACAGTATGGCTACTGAACAAATGAGAGAACTCTGTATAATTACTTCCTGGTATAGACCATTATTAAAGATGATCTAAAATAAAACATGTGAAATTCACTTACATGTGAAAATGTGATGTTTAAATTCTAAATAACTTTTGAAAAAATATGGCTCATGTGATTTAATATGTATTATCATGAAAAATATAAAAAAAATCCATAAAAATAATTTTTGAAATTAACTACCTTATTTTGAAGTAACATAAACATTATCAACTTGAACATAAAAAAATAGTGTATTGAAAAATGTTTACCCATAAACCTGAACACAAAATGATAGAAACACTTCAAGCAAATGAAGTATCACTATTATTTATCATTATTATAGTTTCAAATAAATACTTAAGTGGATTTTGTTAAATATTTCAGGCTGTTTTTTGCTGATCGTAGTAGTGGTAAAATTGAAAGTGTTGAATATGATGGAAGTAATCGCAAACTGATCTTTGCAAAGCCATCAGCACATTTTTTTGACATGGATATCTACCAGGTAATAATAGAAATTCTATGTATATAACTTTCAAATTTGAAGGTAAGACAATGTCTGCTTTAAAACAATTTAAATAGACATATACCTGTCTCTTATACACATCTAGACTTCTAGATAAGCCACTGGACATATAAAACATTTTAAAAACGAATTTACACAAGATATGATTTAGTAAATTAAATTTTATCTTATATATGAATATTATCCATTTTTGTAATGAATCCAGGATTACTTACTTTGGACTGAGTGGAATGAGAACACCGGTGTCCATGCAATTGAATTTGAAAGTGGACGTGAACAAAAGAATTTATTGCATGATGGGATAGCTTATGGAATAAAGACATTCTCATTGTCACGTCAACCTAGTGAAATTATAGGTTTGTATAATGATTATAAAGTACTTTTAGATAAAACAAATTTTACAAAAAAAAAGACTGATTTTCATAAATATTGCTGGAGATTCCCTAATAAAAAGGTGCTCTAAAAATGACAAGTAATTTTTTAATAATAATAAATGATGAAATCTATAATTACATTAATAAAATTGACACAATTTACGGTTTATAATTAAATATTAACAATGACAACAATAAACATATCTACTTATCTATTTTAATTCACTTTATTAAAAATGACTGTTGACCAATTAAGCCCGACATACCCACCTCTAACAAACCTAGAGCCGTATTTTCTGTGACAAAAATGTATTTTAAAACCAAGAACGATTTTCCAGCTTTTTATTATATTACCATGGATTTTTTCCTTGAGGCCTACTCAATATTTTATCAACCAAAATGCTTGGAAAGTATGGTGGTTGAAAAATTAATGGTAGAATTATAGGCCTAGGCTAATATTATGTATTAATATTAATGTTGCTATTATTTGTAACTCTCAATTGTTTCAGATTCTTCTAATACTGAGAGTTGTTCGAATGAAAATGGTGGTTGTGAACATCTATGTCTACTATCCCTTGGTGACCAAGGGTACCAATGTCACTGCAGCACTGGATATCATCTCCATATTGATGGCAAGACGTGTGTCACAGGTATAGAATAGACTTGAATGGTGTTTGCTGCTTTGAAAATTCTACTTGATTGTGACCTCTTAGGTACTCATGCAGCCAAACTACACATGACGTAGGGCTGTGTCTGTTATTTTGAGTTTCTCATTTGAAAATAATTATATAATCTTAAAGCATAAACCCATTGGTATCTTGTTGGTTTTGTGGACATTCAGTATACGATAAAACCTTTGATACATTGTATAAGATTGGATTTATTTGGTATGGAAACCAAGAACAACCCACAAAATATTGATTTTGGCGCATCGATTGTGGCTTGAACTCCCAACCTTGAGGTCGGGGGTTTGAAACTCTCGCTGTGCAAGTCGCTTGTGTCCTTGGGCAAGGCACTTTGGTTGTCTCTTTCCACCCAGGAGTACAAGTGAGTACCTGGTAGGTTCAAACACAACCATGCGCTGATTACAGTTGCAACATTATGGGGCATGAGTGTTGTGTTCCATGTGCTTGATCCAGTGACCAGGGGTAATAAAGTAAAGTGCATACAGGTCTACAATATGCACTATATAAGTCGACAATTATTATTATAATTATTGTTATTGGTAGTTCACCGAATGACAGTTCCGTACTCTCCCCGTAGAATATAATGCATTTTTGCAGCGTGCACATTGTGTTCAGCTGAAACATAACATAAAGAGAGCTGCAGATAAAATGGAACTGGGTACCAAATGTTAATAATGAACTTGACAGTTCAACGCACACACAATTTATTATTTATGTTTTCGGAAAATTACACTTATTTTTACATTACCATATATATAATATTTTGATTAAGATTAAACAACAGTAATATGCTGTTTAGTATTAATTAGTGGATTTTTAGAAGGTTGTTTTAACATTTTACCATTCACTATTTCAAGTAATTATTCTAATCAAGAAATTTAACTTTTTTTAAAATTATTTTTCATTAGATGTTATAGATGATGATTTTATTCTTTTGGCCGACTTCTACCTACATGGGATTTTTCAAGTAAGTCTTAGTGGCTCTGCTGATGGATTTTCAGCTGTTCCATTGGGAAAAATGTCAAAACCCGTCGGACTTGATTACGACCCAGTTGATAAGATGGTGTACTGGACAGATGTTGAATTTGGGACCATCAACCGAGGGAAGCTTGATGGTTCTTTTCAAGAAGTTGTTGCAAGAAGTGGAGTGGAAAGTATGTTTGCTTTTGAAACATATATGTAGACAGTTTCATTTCTATTTGGCAGAGACATACAGAAAAATTTTCTCAGATTCGACTGGTAAATTGCAATTTTATCAAAACAAATATATGCTCCCTGCCATTCTGCCACAATAGCTATAGCTGAAGCACAGTTTCATCTGATTATACTTAATTTATAATTATTTGTTTTACTTTTAAGCTAACTACTGTTATTTTTAGGTGATGACCAAGTGATAGTTATAAAATTGGCTCATGATAATATTATATATAAATACATATGATTAAATGCTTAAATGATGAAGGGTTATCACTTCAAGATCCCTATAAGTATGCGGTGACTATCAGTGTTGTATCCGAATACATATTGTGTAACATCAATTGTCACCAACTGTTAATTTTATTTTAGTATCCGACAGACTCATAGACATGCAGGAGAAATTTCTTTAAAACAATGTATCGTTAACCTTCTTAGGTGCGGACGGAATTGCGGTCGACAGTATTGCTAGACTTATATTTTGGACCGATGCAACGAAGAAGACCATTGAAGTTTCCAAGCTCAATGGTGTGGATCGTAAGAGTATAATCGATAAAGATCTTGACAAACCAAGAGCAATTGCTGTCGATTCTGTTAATGGGTACGACCGAATTTGCTTAATTTTTCTTACCCTAGCTCGTAACACGTCTAACTTCAAACCTCTCTCAAGAAAAAAAACTCTGCATGTGATTAAATACTCTCTTGTGTAACACACCTTTCTAAAAAGAAAGTAATGCATGTGCTTATTCATTCGTATTACAAAATACACATTCCAGTATCGGTTGTAGTTGGAGTTCTGTTTACTCTTTCCCTATTGGAGCTTAGTATATATCTTGCTACAGCTAGTACAATCTGGTTGTCATTGTATAATATTAGTATGTTGTAGTACACTACTATACATTATAGTGTGGTATATTTATTTTAAATATTTTCATTAGGGTAATATATTGGACTGACTGGGGAAGTGAGCCAAAAATAGAAAAAGCCAATATGGACGGAAGTAATCGGATGGTACTAGTGAAAACTGGTTTGAAATGGCCTAATGGACTTGAAATAGATTTCCACTGTAGGTTTTTTACATCCTTGTTACATCTTAATAACAGTATATTTTCACATTCCTATTTTATTATTAATTTAAACAACTCTTTAGTTTATGTATTTTATGCTATAATGTATATAAAGTGCATATTATGTGACAATTTTCATCATGTTTTTGTGAAGGCAGTGCCAATAGCAGAAAGTACATTATCTGCTCCTTGGTTTTTTTTTTGTAATCAACTGCAGTAGAGAAAAATACATTTTTATTTCTATTTTAAAAGCCATTTTATTTAAGAGGTGAAGGGAAGCACAGCCATTATCCATGTCAACATAATATTTATTTATTTTTTATTAATAAATTTGCTAATATTCAATGTTTTTTTCTACCAGCAAAAAGAGTGTATTGGTGTGATGGAAAACTATCAATCATAGAGAGTGTGAACTTCAACGGTGAAGATCGCCAGAGTTTGATTGATATGGGCGACTCCCATGGAAACCACCTTTTCGGATTGACTTCAGATGAGAATAATGTGTACTGGACTAACTGGGCGTCAGGCACCTTGATGAAAATTGGAAAGACAGACATAAACACCAACGGGACAGCTTTCGGATTCAAAGGTTTTACTAAAATCAATGATATTGCTCTCTACAGCAACAGTATCACAAGACCTGCCTCTTATACACATCTAGATGCGTATAAGAGACAGCTATATAAGTCGACAATTATTATTATTATTATTATAGGAATTTTTTTTGTGTCGTTTACATGGGGTTTATGGGAAAAAGTAACCTTTTTGGGTCCCTAAATTGCAATTTTGGGGCACATGACCTTTGACCTAGGTAAACAAGTCAAACAATTTTGCTATTTTTCGGAAGCCCAAAATATTTTACCCAACAATCAAACCCAACATTTGCAGAAAGTTACAGCCATAAAAAATTATTATGCGTTTTTCAGAAACCTATTAAAACCCCTTAAGGGGCCCCAGCGACCTAGAATAGACCCCCTTGGGACTTAAAATTGTTAAGAGAGGACAAGAAGTTTGATTGGTGAATAAATGGAATGTCGTTCGGTTGAACTGGGTAACCAAATGCTGTCAATATGGAAGATATCACTCCACTTTGCAGAGGCAAAAAGGCAGTAGACATGTTTAATGAATGTTTAATGTTAAATTTCACAATGGGCATCCATATGGGAAGTTTAATTTAATGAGACAAAAACCAAAACGATTTATTTTAAGAAAAATAACATTATTCGCGGATGCTACATCTCTTTATTGTAGTTCTTTTAATGTGTCTTGCGTCACGATTTTGATATAGCACTAATATCGCAAGTGACCAAACTATGTATATATAATAAAATGCATCTAAATTCCCATCATAATTCACATGAGAAATGTAAAATCATTAAAGACCAAATGTAACGATGGTAATCTGATCACTTGTATTTTGTGAACTTGCAAGATATCTATCCTAATTCTAGTGACAGTGAAGTTTTCACTAAAATCTAATAAGAATACTGTACGGGCTAAAATTGAATTGTATTCCCAGTTTGCTCAGATAAAAATATTCTGTGTTTCACACTAGCTGTCCAGTGTCCGGAATATTTTGTGGGTGGTAGTATCATCGACTGCGAGCGTTTCCCTCAAGACACTTGCTCGGTTTCCTGTGACGTTGGCTATGAGCTTCAGGTTCCAGAGGTGAAATGTCAGTCTAATGGAGAATGGGATAATAGCACAGATCTACTTTGCAAAAGTATGTAATTTAATAAAAATATATACATGTGCTAATTATTGCATATACAAATGTGTCGCTGTCCTACATGTGACTATGCAGTCATAAGACAGACATACACACATGAGGTGCTCTACGCAAACTTAACCTTAACATGTGGTTTACGGAGTGGAAAGGTGTTTTTTGAAGGTGTGAAAGGCTTCTAAAGTACTGTTTTTCCATGATGATGATATTGGTGATGATGATGGTGATGATAATTATGATGATAACGACGATGACTATGATCGTAGACTCTGATATCGTAGAACACTAATATTTGAGAGTTTTTTTTAAAATAATTTCTTTATGTTACTTCCCGAATGGAACAAGTATTAAACTTCCAGGCAAAACGAAGTCCTGAGTAAAGTATTAGCGGATATATCTGAAAAAATAGTGGTTGTCTATAAATTCTTTTATGAATTATTCGTACCAACTTCATGCCCGCAGTCGGAGCTCAGTGTAAAATACCTTGGGAAAAATATCTGATTTGTAAAACTTTTAGTGATAGTAGAAAAGATTAGTTTTGACTTTTGTGAATGAATACATTTAGTTACTTGCTATATAAATCTGGTATTCATGTGCCATTCGAGCTTATTTACTATTTGATTATATCAGAATGATAATTTTAAAGTTTTGAGCCCCTGACTGTTTCGGAACAGTGGTTATTAAAAGAAATTATTGTATGCAAATGTTCCAACTTCGGTGGCATCATCATTATCATTTACTATTTTCAACATCATTATAATTGTCATTGTTATTTTATCATTATTATTTTTTTGTTTCTTGTCATTGAAATATATTTTAGGCCTAATAAAAACAGTAAAAAATAATTTCATTATTTTAGAAATGAATAAATAATTTTAAAAAATGATACATATATCTTGTATTAATGCCTTATAGTTATCACATGCAAGGAACATCTCTTAAACCCAAATGTCTTTGTGGACGAATGCATCCAACCGTATAATTTCAACACCACTTGTGCTTTTCACTGTTCGACTGGAAATTTACCTAACGGTGGCAATGAGAGCAGAACATGCATGGAAGATGGCACTTGGTCAGGAGAACCACTTTCCTGTCAAAGTAAGTTATTCTCCGTCTATTTGAATAGCTATTTTAATAAACGACCACTACTACATTTTGCTTGTGTGACGTGAATCTATTGTCTTTAAAAAAAAATTTAATCGTCCATCTCGGTGTGCCGTGTACTGTCTCCTGCCTAATTTTCCTTTTGTTTACATAAGATGTGTATTTTTTATTTTATTTTTTTAATTTTAGGTGAGTAATGTTAATCACACAGGAATTAGTTTATTACATATGTGAATGTTGCTCTTCAGATGGGCCTCAATTATATTTACGAAAGACAATGTAAAGGCTGCAATATATACCAACAAAGTATATTTTAAAGTTATATATGATTATAATTTGAAAAAAGAATAATAATAACGTTCTTTCTGTCAACTCATTATTTCGTTATTACCACCACTACACACCACCACCATCATCAACCTTACACGCTAACACCATCACACTCATCATCATAATCATCACCGTCATCCACTTCGCTCTTTAAGTCCCTGCTCAAATTTTCTCTATGCTTTTTTTTATTCATACACAAAAAAAGAAAAAAACACATTATTTTAAATATTTTAAAGTACATTCTTAAATCTAAGCTTAACTGTTAAAAAGCTTTATTTTAAATTAGAATTTTACAGTATGTTTTACCAATTATCATAGGTGTGACCTGTCCCCCACTGGTCCCTCCTGCAAATGGCCTCTTCAACCCTTCAACATGCTCATCTGATAGAGTGTTGTATAGTCGCATTTGTGGGCTGGGCTGCACAACTGGTTACCAGTTGTCGGGGGCTAGAACACACATTTGCAAGGGAGACGGCACATGGACTAGTGGTCCTATTGAATCTAAATGTATAGGTAAGAATATAACAGTTTAATTGTTGATTACTGTGTTCTGGCCTACATAGATGATTTTTTCCTAGAATTTCAAATGGAATATTGTATCAATAGTTTGGGTGATGGGAAACATTATAACTAATTAATTTCAATACAAAAAAGAAAGATTACTTTTTTTTATGTCAAGATAAACTTTGGAAACATTGATACATGATGTAGATAAAAGCAGTCATCTTCTAAGCTAATACCAAATTTTAATCATAGTTGTGTTGATGGTGGTTGTAGTAGAAAGTATTGTGGGAACATGATGTTGGATTTATGACAATGGTAATACGATGAAGATGGTGGTAATATATTAGTCATTTAGTGATTGTAATTATAAGTTCTATATCTTTTTTACCTGCCAAATTTTAAAAATAAACCTAACCTATAAAATATTCATCGCTTTTTTGAATTGTACAAGATGTTGAAGCCCCAAGTTTTGGAAATACCTGCCCTGATAACATCACGATGACCACACCTCATGGAGAGGCCACAATGAAAGTCACCTGGCAGAAACCCACGATAACTGACAACACTGATGATGAAGTAAATGTAACATCAGATGCAGAGCCCCCGATAACAATGGGAGAAGGAGAACGTCTGGTAACATACACTGCAATAGATGCCTCAGAAAACAAAGCAACCTGTACTTTTGGAATTATTGTCGAAGGTATGTAGAAAAATGTATCCACTTATCCCTAGGAATTATGTTTGAAGATCAATAGAATAACAGCCACCCCATTGTGTTTTTGTTGAACATATGTAGAAAAATTAATGAAGTGAATTAGTTTTTCTACAAGAGCATATCATGTAGAAAAATTAATTCACTTAAACATGATAGGCTTTTGTCTAGCCATAATTTTATGCTAAGGTCTAGTATTAGTTTCAAGGTAAATCGTATTACAGAAAATTGATCTTATTCATGCATGAACGGTGCTCCAGGCCTGACTCTCCGAATCAAGAAAAAGTAGGTGTTTTTGTGCCCTCAAATTGATTGTCTAATAACAACGTATTATTTTTAAATCTCAGTGGACAAGACAAAAGAAATATTTTAATATAATGCCTTTACAAATGTTAGTTCTCCAGAAATTACCTATGTGTAAATTAAGGTTCCATTTTAGATCAACTCTATTTGTTGCGGCCTGAAAAACTAATTCAGTTTGTAAGGCTCACCGGCAATCATCTTCAAAAGTACTTATTAAAAACGAATAATACAATAATAATAGTAATAATACTGTACAATGTAATGTCAAACATCTGTGTCTTAAAAGTTGCAAAATTGAACAAAATGTAAAAATTTAAGGCAACTGAAAAGGTCTAATGTGTGTTCGACCCTTGATGCTTTTTCAGAAAAATCACTAACCCTTTGAACAACTTTTATGCCTAACCCTGGTCAAATTAATAGATTACACGACGTTTTATCTGTCATTGTCTACTAAATGTTATGAAATCTGTATTACTTTACTGATTGAGGATTTCTAGTACTACTCATGTGTATTAAATATGGTATACCTTACTCCACAATACATACAGTAGTTGAAATGATTGTGATTAGTGCATCGTGAGCAATGGAAACATGGTATCAACATAAATATAGCAAATCGCCACTTAGACAATGGTGCCGCCGCTAATGATAATTAGCAATTTTTGTGTCAAAAACCTAGTAATAATAGGCTGAATTCTTAAAAATATAGTAAATTAAACAATAAAAAAATCATGTTTTCATACTGATATTAGTTCGACGATGTTATATTCTGCTGGCACCTATACATGGACACATTGGGGATGTTAACTGTGGAAACCATCTGGGAACATCTTGTGAACTTGTGTGCAACGAAGGCTATTACATGATTGGTGGAGACAGTAATCGAACATGCGCGCTTAAAGATGGAGAACCGGTATGGACTGGTCTACAGCCAAACTGCACAAGTAAGTTGAACTAGAAGTTTCAGAAATTAAACAATATAAACAATATTTTTGTACTTCTTATTTCTTTCTATTTGAACCATAGTTCTAGATTTTAGTGGTTGTTGCAGAACGTCTTTGTGTATTCATCAAAAGGGGTCATTTTGATTAAGCAAGGATTAATGTCTTTCAACTTTAGACAAAACCTGTCTTTAATCATGAATTTTTGAAACTTAGTTTCATTCATATCAGACCTGTTAATCCTGCACAAATTTAAATGACCAGGTGAATTTTAGGACACATACCGTAAAACCTCGAATTAAAGCCCTGGGCTTCTTTTTTTCTGCGAACTTTGGATGGGCTTCTTTTCGAGATGGACTACTTTTCGAGATGGGTTTCTTGAGACTGCTTTTGCAAATGTTGTAAATTTTGTGAATTTGTACAATTAAACAATAAATAAGGCCAATGTAACATCAATCTGTATTATGGAGTGTATTACCTGACATTAAATCACCTAAACTAATGTATAAACCAAGCTTGTTTTTAATTTATTTTGTTTTCTGAAATTCATGCACAGTGTATGTAATGTAATATATCAAAAAAATGGGCTTATTTTCGAGATGGGCTTCTCTTCGAGGCTAATTTAGCAAACTATAGAGTGCGGGGGTGGGGCTTCATTTCGAGATGGGCTTCATCTCGAGATTAAGCCCACTGGGCTTCAATTCGAGGTTTTACGGTACTTCAAATACTTGTCGAAAACAAACATTTATTTCTATTTCGGAAAATCTATCTTTAATCCGCTGACGCTTTATAGCATACCGTTTCTGCAAATAGTATTCCAAGTAGATTGATTATATGCCATGGACTGCAGACTTTCTTGATTCAATCGTTGGTTTATGGGCCTAATTTACTTACTAATTGTTGAGATATACAGTATGTATACTTTTGTGTTTCCCCCCCCCCCTCTCTGTGTCTCTCTCTCTCTCTCTCTCTCTCTCTCTAAATTTATAACATTAGAAATATATCATAATTGACACTGTGTGCCACTACAATTTACCCTGCTTTTATCCGTGAAAAACCTGAATATGGAAACCCACTAGTTTACGGTCTTCCAAAATCGAATCTTTCACCCTCTTTGCAACACGTCCAAAATACTGCGGAACAAGAAAATTTTATCGAATTTATTCACATTTTAAAAAGCTTAATTTGTTGCTTGTTGTCAAAAATTGTGGGGTTTTTTTGTACAATTAAAACGATCAATATATTATTATTCATTTCATTATCTAGATGTAATTTGTCCTGAGGTTGAAGCACCAGATCATGTGTTAAAGGCAGCATGTTCGCCTCCGTACATACTCAACACTGAATGTCAGTACATCTGCCAGAAAGGCTACTATAAAGTTGGTGGTTCAGACCGTCAAACCTGTAGTATGGATGGGGATTGGACTGGTTCCATCATTCAGTGTGAAAGTAAGTTTAAAGTTGTATTCCAGTGTCGGCTAATCTCTTCAAATACCTAATCTTCTGTTAATAATTGCAGCTCCTGGAGACTTTTGTCATATGTACTATAGGGCTACGAGACTGATTATTTAAAACAACCCTAGCAAGTAAGTAACGCATACACTCATTATCATCTAGATGTACCAGCTAAACGTCAGAAATACTGTATAAGTGTCTATTGGTCTGTATACACTTACGGAAATGCGCTGCTCTACGGTCTTCCAAAATCGAATCTTTCACCCCTTTTGCAGCATGTTCAGAATACAGTTGCGAGAACCCAAGAAAATAGTCCGCGTCTGACCAATTGAAATTCATTATGTGTCTGCATTAGGCATTGGCAGCCAACGGGCAGGATTTTTTTGTAACTGTAAACAGTTTAAATCAAATGTTTTATTCAACTTTATTGTATCTGTGATTTTAGAACAGAGCCAATATGTTTTTGTACTAAACTATTATATCTTTTTACTAAAGTAAAAACCTGTGAGCCATTGTTATCCTTTGCCCATGGAATAATCAGCCCAGCAAACTGTACCACGATAGGGGGACGTTATGGAGATGAATGCATTTTCACCTGTGAGGAGAATTTTAAACTACAGGGATTTAGAGAGCACATTTGCAGAGAAGACGGACAATGGAGTAATCTTGATGATGAGCATACCTGTCAAGGTAAATATTTTAGTCTTTGAGTCAAGGTTTATCATAGAATTGACCTTTTTGGAGTGCCAATCAAAACTTAACAACTGACCAATCTGAACAGGGCCCAGTACATGCGCTTGTCCCACAAAGACGCGTGACATCGCACGTAAGAAATTAGACAAAATATTCAAGGAATTTTACTTTGTGGAAAGGTTTGTTATGAAACATGCAAGGATTAACACAATGAAAATAAAAAGTAATATAATGTCTAATTTTATATATATGTATATAATAATAATTAAATCAAATAGGTAAGTGATCCATATATATTCAATATATGTTAAATCCATATATATTAAATCAAATAGGTAAATCATAGAAATAGTGCTAATTTGTATTTAATATTTATATGTATATATTATATATATATATATAATATATATATATATATTTATATATACAGTATATATATATATATATTTATATATACATCATAATATCAGAGGATTTTTGTGATTTATGGGGCTAAATAATGCAATAAAAACAGATATGTTTGAAAACATTCGAGTCTGGGTGGGTCTGCAGTGTATTAGATGGGTTGGAGGACTTGTTCGAGAAATTTGAAGTGGGGGGGGGGGGGGGTTCGCCAGAAAAGATGGTGGTTTGATAGAAATTGGGATTCTCCCGAACCATAAAAATGTCCCCTGGCTACAGGCCTGATTAAGATGGTTGTCAACGTGAAGTAAGTAAGAACGTTGCATGATGACGATGGCTGTATTGATGGTGATGGTTGTTGCGGCAGCGGCATATTTGGCGGCAGCCACGGTGATAACCTAATATGACAAAGACCATATAATGGAAATAGTGGTGAGAACGACTGAGGTAACAATTATTACAATGATGTCAGTGATGATGACAAAGACGATGATGGCAATGAAAATGACGAGGAGGATGAAAAAATAATGAATGATAGTAACAATGATGAAAAGGAAAGATGATAAACATTGAAGATTACCACTGATGAAGATACTGACATTATTTATTTTAAATCACAATTTCAGACCCAACTGCTCCTAAATTTAATGGTACATGTCCGGATGACATTCTAGTTGTAGCTGTTAGGAATGAAACTGATGGCATAGCTACATGGGTGATGCCTGATAGCTACGATAAGGATGGTCAAAAGTTAAATGTAACGTCATCAAAACCAAATGGTGTACGCTTGCCTGAAGGGAATCATGTGATAGTACTTACAGCTACAGATTCCAATGGCAAGAATGCATCTTGCAGATTCTTGGTTACTGTTAAAGGTAAGTGTTTTTGTTTCATTTCAAGATAATGTTTGCATGTTCAGATGTATTACCGTTACCTGAAAGTGTGATCACAGTACCTGCATTGGAGAAACCGGTGCCACTTTTAGAAGTAGGTTGAATAACCACAAATCGTCAATCCGCACAAGTAAAACCTCACCCATTGCCACTCATTTTAATTCTCCCAATCAATGACATTAAATGCACTCTTATAGGCAGCAACTTTACATCATTGAAAGATTGATATACAGTATATATATATATTATATATATATCCTACATCTATGCCTGCTATGTTATACCATTTATTTTATCTGCTATATATATGTACAGTACAGTATATATATATATATATATATATATATATATATATATATATCCGTCATTATATTTATATTTTTGTTATTCGACTTTCAGATATTTTACACATTTTAATTATATTACCATGTAGCTTAATTTGCATTGTATAGCGAACAGTACTTTGGTTTGTTTACAACACCTTGATCAAAGCTCACCGCCTTGATCACGGCTTAGAGCACCGTAATTAAATGGAAGTTACATAAACTATGCGATAATTGACCCTTAAATTTAGGCCTGTCACAGTACAATTGTTTATTTGTGTAATATATCTCAGCCACATTTGGTTATTTAGCTTTGTAAGCTGAGGAAGACCAGAGGACTGGTCGAGAATTTCTTTGAAAATAAATAAGTGTTCTAGAGTTCACATGACTCGTTGCTATAATTTTTTTTTGTTTCTGATGATGCCAATTAATTATAGACAACTGGTAAACCCAAAAAATTAAGGGGTACCTTTACATAGGCCTGTCGTAATGGGCAACGGTGCAAGCCATTTAAAGTGAGTATTTGAATATGAAGATGTTATTGTGGGGATCCATAAAATCAATAAGAATGCTCGTGCCAGCATCGTGCTATATTTATGTGGTTAGATAAAAAATGATTTATTTATTTTTGTGTGACTGTTAAATGAAAAAAATCATTTTGGATAAATTAAGTTTAGCGAACATTAGTTAATTATGCCTTTACGTGTCCATATTTAAGTTTAATATTAGACTTGTGTTCAAGTATGGTAGCATATTCTTTAGATTTGATAACACTTCTAATAATAGTACCTAAACAGACATACAGGGGTTTCAAAACTCTAAATTAATAAACCATGGAAAAAATGTAATATGTTTGTTAATAATTAGATAAAAGTGGTAAAAAAATGAACATCTCTGTTAATTTCTAACTCATTGTTGTCAATAATTGGTGCATTTGTAATACTGTAAACTGCCAAGTGGGCTCCTTCTCAAGATCGTCTTCTTCTCGAGATTAAGCCCATAGGACTTCTATTTTACGGTATTACTCCATTCCTTAATGCTGTTTTGATGTGTTATAAAGTACAGTATATTATTATCTAGTATCGTAACTCCGATTTTTTTTCTAACAATATTTGAAACCACTTGCATAGCTCATCACCACTAACCTTTCCTTTTGCTGTGAATATAAACGCTGTGTAAGTAATTGTTGATTAGATTTTTGGTTGAATTGGTTTCAATATGCAGTGTACAAAGTAATTTAAACCTTAGAGAAAATTCTATTTTCTCTATGTTTAAACTAAACTTTCATTTGGGGAACCCCACACGTCACTGATAGTTTGATCTCTTGCACCTGTACAATTAAGGAGCATATTCCTTTATGTTAAAATACATACTAAAGTATTGCATGCTCGATATATAAAGTATTATATAAAATAAGAAATCTCAGCACTTTAATGCTAAGCATGTATTACCTCTAGCTTCCGTCCACACAGTCTTTATCAGGAGGCATACGTACAGTATACTATGATACAGCATTTAAAATAAGAATTCTGAAGCTCATGTGATCAATCACAGCAGGGAAAAATCTGAGCACACAATCCTCCAGTAACTATAACAAAAGATAACAATGCACTTGTATAGAAATTTGTCATTAGATATTTTAGTGATATGTTTTTTATTTCACAGTTCACCGTTGCATAGACCACTCACCAGTTGAGCATGGCCTTACAGTCAGACCGTGTGGTAACCATTATGGTGCTTCTTGTGAGTTTGCATGTGAGACTGGATTCTTATTGACAGGCTCTCGCATTAGATCTTGTGACCTTGTCGATGGGAAAAACAATCTGTTTAATTGGACAGGAGACATGCCTGGCTGTGGCGGTATGTTTAGGTTCTTGCCTACTGTAGTAAAAAAATTGTCAGGATTGCTTTTATACTACAGTGAAAAAATAACACGTTTAAAAATTAACACTGATAAAATTAATCAATTTGTATTTGTTCTTTTCATGATCTTAATTATGTAGTTTAAATGCCTCTAATTCATTATTATGTATAGGCCTATTTATAATATTATAATAATAGCCTACAACATAATTGTTTTTATCCAATAATTTAACTATTTTGTTTTAGAAAACTTATGTGTAATGTTTTCTCCTCCGGAAAATGGATTAATCCAAGGATGCGATTCAACACAACCACAACCATACCAAACACAGTGCCAGGTTCAATGCTATGTTGGGTACAACCAGGTTTTAGGCGAAAATCTCCACACGTGTCTGGATAATGGAACATGGGATGGAGTTCCATTGGTCTGTGAAGGTACCGTTTTTTTAAATAATATTGTACACAGGCTAGGGGTCTGAAGCAGTTGTATTGCCTGCATAGATTTGTAAGTATGCTAAATTGTTCACTAGTATTATTTGCCTAAAAGATCATACACCATATAAACTCAACACAAAGCATGATGCACGACATAGTGCGATATGTTACGATATGGTACTTTTTAATTTTCAACTATCTTATTCTGATTGCTAAATCAAATATTTTAAAATCTTACAGTGCAATGAAACTTCAAATTTTCAATTTCAATGAATTAATCAAGTTTTTGTTGCCAGTAATGAATTCTAACTCTACATTAAAGGATGTTGAGAATTAAGGCTTGATAAATTAATACATTTTAGAGTGTGAATTGTTGAGAATCAAATTGGAATGCTGAATTTACAAGAATTAAATATGTACTTAAAGAAAGTAGAGGAAATAGCATGCTTTGTGCATGATTTACTGTATCAATGATTATGAAATATTATTTTCACCATTACAAAAGTTGCCTTAATAATAATATTATAATATAGATGAAATAATGTAAACTGCATATTTCTCTACAGGTGTCAGATGTCCACCTGTGTCGATTCAAGGTGTTCTTGTGTACCCACCTAGTTGCTCTGAGGGGGGCACATATGAAGATGAGTGCTACTTTGGATGCAGGGAAGGATATGCTTTACGAGGTGCATTGTCACAGTTTTGTTCAGCAAGTGGAACATGGACACAGAATGACAATGACACCCATTGTGAAGGTAACACTGCTTATAAAATATATTTCTTGTATTGACAGGTCTGCTTGGAATATTGGACGGTCAAAGTGTTCCAAGAAATGTCTCTTATGGGCTATTATGTTATGACATATTTTTATTAAGTTATGTTTTTTCTTATATTTAATTGTACATATTATTATATTTAAGTTTTTTATTGTTTATAATAATTATAGATTATTTATAATAATTATATATTTTAATATTCAGTCCCATGATTTTAAATGTTTGAGTCAAATGATAATAATTAATAATTGTAATGTATTCTTGTATTATTCCTTATATATGTATTTTGTATATAAATTTGATCTCTTATACACATTATATTAAATTTTTCCTTGCTTATGTTTTAATATTCAGTGCTGTAATTTTAAATGTCTCCTAGTTTTCGAATGCATTTCCTTCTTTTATGTTGGACAATCAATGATTTTAATATTCAGTATATAGTATTCTTGAAGGTGGGTGTATACATGTACTTGTATAATGTTAACTACTGACTGCTTTCCCGTTTCTGGAGTACTTAAGCCTTAATATTGCCAGATTGACTATAGTTTTGAAAATAACTCGTTCCTATGCATTTCTTCTTTTCTGTTCAGATATTACTGCTCCTGTATTTACTGATTGCCCAGAGGAGTTGCCATTCCAGGCGGAAGAGTGCCAACGGCTAGCACTTGTTGACTTCAGCGATCCTAAAGCTATTGACAATTCTGGAAGTGTAAGGGTGTCGGCTTTAACTATACTATTCGAAGGACTTCCTACTTACCTTCCCGAAGGAAAGTTTAAATTTAATTACATCGCCGAAGACAACTCAAGAAACTCTGCCAGATGCTCGTTAAAAGTTGTCGTAACTGGTATTTATGATCAATTTTGAAAGCTATATTTTATAGTATACAGGGTTGTATCGCATTCCTTTATTTTTTAACTCTGTTTCATATATAGAACTGCCGTTACTATGGAACACGTGTTTTATGGTACATAATTATAAGCAAGCAGTTAAATGTAACTACAATAAACACACATACGATGCATATATACCCCACTGTTTCGCAGCCTTCGCACACGATGCTGCAGCCCCATTCCGTCATATTGTGTCATCTAAGTGCATTTACAATTATAAATTAGTGGAATTCTTTGCAATATTCTGCAACTATATTTACCTTCATATTTTAGTGTAAGAGACACCTTTAAGTTTGTTAATAAAATTCAAAATGTATCCCTTAATTATAAGTTGATGCACATGTAAATCTATTTACTAATATCCCACTACATGAGTCAATAAACCTTGCAGTTGAATATACCCTCTATACTAATGATAACAACAACCTTATGATGACTAAACCCCAACTCAAGAAATTGTTTAATTTTGCCACGTCCAAAATGCATTGTTTCTTCAAAGGTTGTGTTTATGGCCAGATTGACGGGGTGCCTATTGGTTACCCTCTAGCTCCTGTTCTAGCAAATGTCTTCATGGAACACCATGAAAAGATATGGCTTGAACAGTACAAAGGTCCCAGCGTTTTATTTTACAGACGTTATGTTGATGGTATTTTAAACTGTTGCTGGATGCTACCCCTAGCAAATTATGATTAGCGGGCGGATTACAACCATCCATTGATTGAACGTATCAAAACAGCTGTTATCATTAATAGAGGAGTCAATATGTACAATTTGGTGATCAGCTTCGACTAATAACTTGCTAATCAAACCACACTAATAAAATAAGAAAAACTCACAGCAGTTTGCAGAGTCCAGAGCATTATTCCCATCATTTCTAACAACATTTATATAGAAATCGGTGCCGACAAGTTAGGGAGATTTTCGTAATTATTTATAAGCCTATTCCAGCTCAGAGGGAGTCAGTGAGCTTGTCAATTAATAGGAGCCCTCGACAAACTAGGAAGAACAAAGACAGTATAAAATATTGAATATATGTTTAAGGTGCCAAATAGGTTTTTAAGCGGGATTTTTATGTGATGTTGAATTGTAAACTTAAAAAGAATGTCCAAACATCATGTGTAAATTGTACGACAAATATATAATAAAAGTAACTATATGATTGTCTATATGACAATGTTAATTTTCTAACATCTAGCTACTTTTTTTATAACAGTTACGCAGTGTCCTGCTCCCCAAATTACTAACGTGGACATCGATACCTCCTGCCATAACCTTCTAGGTTCTGTGGCCACATTCAGATGTAGCAGAGCTTACTCAAACCTCATTGGACCATCTAATATGACCTGCTTATCAACCGGGATGTGGAGTGAAGACTCTGACCCATATTGCAATGGTAAATTGCACATAATGCTCTTTGTGCACAACATGTATCTTGCAGCATAAATAGATTGGATGGCACGCTGTATTGAATAATTATACCAAGTTCAATTCTGGCAAAACACAGATGGATTTCAACTAAGTTACTCCATTATACAATCTTAAACATGGTTATAAAACACTAGAGTTTTTAAATGATAAATGATCTTGTACCATGCTACTACTGTTAATTGTCAGACAAGCAAAACACACAACTGCGATTTCATACTATGAAATAGATATTAACATTTTATGATTAAATTGTTAGGGACCATAATATTTTGTATTTAAGAATTTGGCCTAGCAACAAAACTTTTCCTATGCCTACATTATACAATGTAAATTATGGTTATATGAAAGAAAAAATAACCAAACAAATAAAAATTTAAAATAGTAAATCAACTCCAATCAAGTGTCTCTTCAGGGGTAGAGTGTGCCAAGTAATTAGAAAACAATCTGTTTATAGAAACAGTTTTATGGGATATGTGTTTAGGGTTGATTATGTTTTGCTCCAATGCTTGCCTGAATCTATGTCTCCAAGTAAATACCACATTTGGTATCTCAAAAATGGGGTGATCTCACGGTTCGTCTCAAATTCGAAGATTAGCTTTGTTTTTAAAATACTGAAGCTTTTTAGTTGGTACTTTACAACGGTAGTATTGATTTAGAGGGGTCTTGGAATTAGAGGGATCTGCAATTAGAAGGCGAACTGCACAAGGAAATAATAAACTATGTGAAATTTATTTTGTAAGACCTGATAATATATTACTTTTCATTGTTACTTACTCTATTAGAAATAATGTGCAACCCACTTCGTACAAGGATAGATGGGAAAATTATGTACTTCATTTATCCTTATTCATGTACGTCACGGAGGCAACATGTTGGACAACAGTGTCATGTCCGTTGTCCATTTGGATACGAACCACGGGATGGCACAACACGTGTGAGATGTCTGCCATCTGGACAATGGAATGTAATTCCCGGCGGACTTTGTGTTGGTGAGTGAAAAGTATAAAGCTCTGAAGATGTTAGGTTAAAGTTATTACCATGCCATTTCAATTTCAATTTCAATATGGAATAATTCGTTTTTCATAGCATTCTGCACATCTTGGATTGTAATAATGAGCCATAAAGAAATATTAAGAGTACCAATCCGATCATTGATGAACTGTAATCATGTATGTGTTTATGTAAGTGTATGCATCTATATGCATGTACGCGTGTATGTATGTATATATATACATATATGTATATATATATATATATATATGCGTTTGTATATGTATGTATATAGGTGACAGTATATATATATTATGAATTATATCACGGTACATTGAAGAGATGAACCGTCAGATACTTTGATTTGAAAGAAACAAAAAATTTAAGGAAAAAAAGTAAAAAATATTTAAGCAAGTTTGTATTAATATTCAAGTTTTTTTTTTGAGAAAAAACAAATCTATTCAAAATATTATAATGAAAATAATGTTAAACTACAAAATACTGTCTATGCAGCTTTAAAGGGACTAACCTTTAGTGGATGTTAAATTATAAGAAAGTGTCATTATCGTTATTATTATTATTATCATTACTATCACTATTATTATTATTATTCAATGGCATTTATAATTACCAGTATGTCATTATTTCATGTGTCAAAAAAAAAAAAAATTAAACTAAGAAAAGAGAAATGAAATAAAAGTGGGTGCAACTCCCACAAAAGAGAGAAAAAGGGGTTAAAGTTATTACATTGAAGTTATTAGCTAATAAAACTGAAACATGTGTTAGTGTGGAAAATTACAATGTAATGTATATATTGTATACTTGTGTAAGGTAAGTTATTCTACAAAAACTAAGCACAATTTTGAAATTTTAATTGTTCTTGCAGACAAAACACCACCACAATTTCTTGTCTGCCCTTATACCATAACTAAATATCTTGCACCAGGGCAGTCCACGATAGACGTTACATGGGATAAACCAAAAGCATTTGATACATCAGGTAATTTGTTTTGTATTACTGCTAACTGCAGACAGCGTACACGTCTTTGTGTAGTTCAAGGTCTATTAAAATGGAGCGTTGTTGTTGCTTTCATTAGGCACTTTACTCAAGAGGACGTTGAGGCGTTGACAACTACAATTCGGGTTAAGTGCCCAAGTGTTGACTGTGGTCTTCACACTCTGATGAGCACAGAATCACCATCCACCCGTCTTCCCGTCCTGTTGCATAAAGTGCCTACTTTGTGAATCAATTCTATTTTATTTTGACAAAAACATCTATGGGGTTTCCTCCAATATAGTATTTACCACTTACCATCATCATATAAAAATTAGATACTGAAGTACTAATGCAGTACATATGTGTAATTATAACTAATATTATTCGGTGGCATTATATTTTGGAATAATGTGACTTATATTTTTGTTTTTAAGGAGTGTACAACTTAACGTCACCAGATGTGGTTTCACCTTTGACCCTCGGACCTGGTGTACTAAGGCTTAGCTACATGTCGACTGATAAAAGTGGAAATAAAGCTTTTTGTATATTTAGCATTATTGTGATAGGTGAACCATTTTAGTTTTTACAATATCACATGTGTGTGACAATTGACTTTGAAGACACATCATTCCTCCGATGCATTCTGGAAGCGGTTTGGCGCAGCGTGAAAGGTTTGGTTTCCCAACCTTGAGGTCAGAGTTTCAATCCCTCCCTGTGCATTTCGCTTGTGTCCTTGAGCAAGGCACTTTATTTGCATTGCTTCTCTCCATCCAGGAGTGTAAATGGGTACCTGGTGGGGTTGCTTGCTCCTGCGCTGAATACAGCAGCAACACTTAAGCATGTGGATCCAATGACCAGGGACAGAAGCGCTTCGTATCTGCAAAGAAAGGCGCTATATAAATAAATATAAATGAATATGAATATGAATATTTTCTGTGGTTTTTGCGTAATCATGCTAAAAGGCAGGCAGACAGACAAACAACTGGACTGACAAATAGACAGACATTGGTGAATACCATAACCTTCTTTTCAATGGAGGTAATAACAATAATAGTAAATAGTAATAATAGTAACAATAGTAATTCTGATAATGATGATGATGATGATGATGATAAATATAGAACAAAAATATTTAAATAAATATATTGTAATGGATATATGAGGGTGCTGCCGAAATGCCTGTTAACACTTTTTGTGTCTGTGCTCTGAAACTGGTGCACTGATTGAACATATTGTTCATACAGTAGATAGCATCCGTGCCGGTGACTTTACTGCTGCTATATCTATTATGAGCGATTTTAACGACTAGGATACGATAGAGTTTGAATTAAACGTTGATTTATGCCAAGTAGTCAACTTCTCAACAAGAAAGGATGCCCTTTTAGACAAGATTTTTCTCAAGTTTGCTCAACTCTACACTTGTCCCAAACGTCTGATGCCATTGAGTCGTAGCGACCAAAACTCTATTCCAGCTTAGAGCCCAAATTTTAATTGTCTTCGAACAAATATATTACCCAGAGTTCTCAGCCTTACCGTGATTCATCTGTCTTAACCTTTGGACAATGGATTACAACAGACGATTAGCAAGGGGTGTTTGATTCCACTGATGTTAACCATAAGACCGAGGCTTTCCCTTTAGTTTTGAAGTGTGGGTATAACAAGAACTTCCCAACTAATCTTAATAATATTGTAAATAATATTTTTTTTTTATAAAAGCCCCGGAGGACAAAATGCTGTCAACTATAGATGTGGTATTTAATCTATTCAGATTGATATTTTTTGTACATATGATTTCCTTTTCTTAATTTTTATTGGTATATTTTAAAATATTTTTTCTACTTTTTTTTAATATAGAGTAAGATGTGTATAAGAGACAGCTATCTATTCAATTTTATGTTCTTATACCTGAATAAATAAATGAATAAGTAAATAAATGTCAAAAATTAACTATTAATAACGATGAAGTTGATGATATACATAATATATCTTCTATAGATTCACAGTCACCAAGAATTGAAAGCTGTCCAGACATTCAAGCTTTGAAATCCGACACACTTCCTATAGAGTTCAAATGGCACCATTCACCTGTGTTCACTGATAATGTGAATGTATCCAATGTTTCGTACAGTATACAGAGAGGGGATCTTGTGTATAAGTGGGGCGAGTACAGCGTCATAGTAACAGCAAAAGATGAAAACGACAATACTGCCATATGTACAATGCTTGTTGAAGCTGTTCCTAGTAAGAACCTTACACAATTATTATCATTTACCGGTATTAATATTATTTTTAATATTGTTATTCATAGTATTGTTATATTTTTTAGTTTACTCAAAGATAGTTGTTATCAATACTTTCTATAGCTGATCCCTGCCAGCCGTTGACTTCTCCCAAAAATGGTCAGGCCAACTGCAAGGCACATCACTGTACAGTGACATGCAAAGATGGGTACACATTCTTAGATGGTCTGACAAGGCACAAGTATAACTGTGACATGGCACTCGGACGTTGGAACCACGGAAATCCTACTGATCCACGGCCGTATGCATCAAGCTGTTCGCAAGGTTTGTATTGGAGATAATGTAACCTTTGAACTTTCAAGGACTCTATTATGGGATGTTCCCGCGGAGTCTCGCTCTCTCGTGGGGGTTCGTCGACTAGCCAAGCTGCGTCTTGTTGGAGGCTCACACTTTGTATAGAATAAAACCTAGATGTGTATAAGAGACAGGTTTAATGTTATATCGGTTGATGAGGAATTTATTGATTAGGCCTATAATAGCAAATTGCATCAATTTATTTTGCAAAAACAAGGTTT